AGGCAAATGAGAGGTGTGTTTCAATCCTAAACATTAGACCTTCTTTTATAGGGGAAAAATCTCGCCCAAACTTAACTCCCAACCAATGTGGGACTTTGGCATTTTGCCAAACTTCAACAGTAACAACCATCCAAACAAGGTGTAGAGTAAATTGTAAATGTGAGAAAGATATTATAAAAGTGATGTATTTTGATAGTACTAATACGTTTGACAACAATATTTATGTTTTTGCCGAAGAATGTAATGCGGAACAACAACCGAGTGCGTAGTGTAATATAATCCGAGCAAGGGCAATATAGTAAACTTATTCTCCTCCAGGCTTAGAAAAACCTTAAGCAGTGAGAATATAGGGGTTTTTCTTGCTTCGGCTCCAGGGCGAGCTGCAAAAGCAAAAGCAAAAGAAAAAGGAAAAATGGTGAGGCTAACAGCGGATTTGATTTGGAAAAGTCCTCACTTCTTCAATGCCATTCGCGAACGCGAGTTAGATCTTCGAGGTTTCTTCTTTAAACCTAAACCCTAGTATTTCTTTTTTAGCTTCAAACTCCAACTTGTAACTTTTTGCGCGCGCTGTGGCAAAAGCTTAATGTTTAATTTTATAACTTATTTTATGCACAGGAAACAAGATTCCTGTTATTGAGAACTTGGGTGCTACTGAGGTCAGCTTCTTTTGCTTCTTGTTTTACTTTAAGATTTTTATTTATTGGGAATAGTTTCAGAAATTTGTTTTCTTAACAGGGTCAATTCGACACAATTGATTTATCTGATAATGAGATTGTTAAACTCGAGAATTTTCCATATCTGACTCGGCTTGGAACCTTACTAATGAACAACAATAGGATTACACGTATTAACCCCAACATTGGAGGTGAGATATTAGGCGATTCAAGTACTTATGTTCCATTCTAAATGTCGTAAATTTGTTGATTTTATTAGGCTTTTTATTTGATGAGAGATTTTTTTATTGTTGTTTTGTGATGTTGCAGAGTTTCTGCCTAAGTTGCATACTTTGATTCTCACCAGCAATAGACTTACAAATTTGGTTGAAATTGATCCGCTTGCGTCTCTACCAAACCTGAAGTTTCTTAGTTTGCTTGATAACAATATCACAAAGAGACCAAATTATCGCCTTTATGTCATTCACAAATTGAAGTCCTTGCGTTTGCTGGATTTCAGGAAAGTCAAGCAAAAGGTTAGTTTTCTGGTTCCTTCCGTCTCTTCATTTGAACAATGTAGGAACTCCTCAAATATGTTGATAGTTCAGCTTGTGGTTTTAGGTAACATTTTCTTGCTGTACTTGTTATCCGGACTTGAAATATGGTGCCATCCTGAATTTCCTCAAACATGCTAGAAAAAGTATAGTCAGCTTAAAAAAGAAACAGAGAATGGGTTCCCGATTTTGAAACCATATGCAATTTCATTTTTCATCCTTGCAAAAGGCTCCTTTAATTAAGTGGGAGGTGTTCAGCATGCTGTCTGAACCAGTATAGTTGCATAAGATAGTGCCAAGTTTGCGTACATAGAGAAATGACAGACCCACTAAATCTGTTTGCTTGAATATTAAATGGAAATGGAGAAGATAAATGTTAACCTCCTTGAATTGGTCGGACCCCAAGATAAGGTGCCTAAATGAAAAATAGTATCAGGTTTAGGGTGTCGTCTTTGTATTTGGCCTTCTTAGTATCTGAATTTTATCATTTTAAAGAAGTTTTTTAATTATATCTTAAAGCAGAGGACATGGCCAGTTGCCACATATAGATGCTAGTACAAATTCTATTACCCGTCGAAAACTTAATATTTGGTTAGAAAAACTCTTACTGTCTTGGATTTAATTTGTAGCTGTTTGCTTTATGAGATTGCCAATGATTTAAGCGTTCTTTTATTGAGATATTCTGGGATTAGACACTTGACCTTAACATATGTAATGTTACTACACACTCTTTTTCTTGTCTATATAAACATACAACTATTTTTTCCAGCAATATATGTAGGCTCCCTCATCTCTTTATTTGCCGATGCTCTAACATACTACATACAAATGCTTTATGCTCTATGGCATGAATATATGATTAACCAATCCAAATGTTATGTTTTCTCCGTTGGGGTTGGAGGTGGGAGCGGAAGCACCCAGAAAATTACTTTAAACAGCTGCATATTGAGCTGTCAGATTTAATTTTGTTGATATAGGAGCGATTGGAAGCAAGTAATTTATTTGCATCAGAAGAAGCTGAAGAACAGGCTAAAAAGGAATCTGTGAAGACCTTTGTACCTGGTGAGGTTCCAGCGGCACCCGAGGAACCAAAGGAAGATGAAGCACCAAAACCAGTTGCTCCTACACCTGAGCAAATTATTGCAATTAAGGTATAATTTGCCATTTATCAGTTACTGTTCCTTAGCAATTCTTCCTCTTCTTCGATTGCATTTTAAGGATTAGGATAGGTGGAACAGGTTGTTTGGATATGTCTATATGTCGAGGGAATTTGGTGTTATGAAATATGGATAGGGCCAACCTATACACTGTTTATGTAAAAGAGGTTAACTACTTACTCTCTGCGTTATGTTTTGCAGTTTGTGTTTTTGGCTAGCCTTCAGTTGCAAGCGCCAATCAGTCCATCNCATATAAAGCTCACAAATCAACTAGTTTCAGCAACACAACCAATCCTAAAATGAAATGTTTTTTGAGAACAGTGGTTAACAAAGCAATCTTCAATATATCTGGTCATAATAGAGCAGAGCATTAGAAAGAAAACTATAGACTGAGTCATAGAAGAACAGTACTTTCTGTGGATAGTTTGTTTGAATCTTGTAAGAGAAGTCATCAGACTCTTCCAGTGACTTTTAGGTCAGAGCTCAACTAGTTAGCTCTTTTATTATTATAGGAGCACGTCATGTCCACTGAATTTTTTGTGTCAACATCAATGGACCGTTGCAAAAGAGAGGCTAGAAGGAGCTTAAACTTATTGGTCTTGATGCACTAAGCTTTTCTCATTATTGGTAAATTTGGTCTAAATATGGATTTTCTTGATTATGGAACCACACCCAGTGGATTGAAGCATGCCGAATAACTCTCCTCATGGATTTGTGAAAAAGAGACCACTCCAAAAGTGAACAGAACAGTCCTTTCCTTTTGGCTAGTTCAATTAATTTGTTTCTTTTTGCATGTGCAGGCTGCCATTGTGAATTCCCAAACTCTTGAGGAGGTTGCTAGACTTGAACAGGTGATACATAAAGTTTTGATTTACTAAATTAGTATATTTGTCAATTGTTTCCTTTATGAAGACCTTGCTCATATCCCCTTACTTTCTCTAATATGTTTTGGGAAACTTACGGTGACGTGTAAAATTGTGCAGGCATTGAGGTCTGGCCAGCTTCCTGCAGATCTAAATATTGGTGATTACGATATTGCTGCTAAAAAAGAAGACGCCGAAGAAGACAAGATGGTAACAGATGGCGACGATAAAGCTAACAAGACGGAGGAGGAAAATATACCTGAGCAGAAGGCTGACGGTCCTACAGATATGGAGCAGGTGCAAATTATTCTATTATAAAACTTGATGACTTTGTCTTTCTTTTCTTTTATGTTATACTGCCTGTTGTTTAAGTTTTCTGGGTTATCATCTGGAAATGGTTGGTAGTTTTGTACTTGCATTAGCTTACAAGAATATCATTTTGGTCAATGTACGTGGTTACTTAACTGTTGCATGCCTAAATTTTGGAACAGTGAGCCAAAATTTTGAGATCACCCCTTGTTAAATAAACCATCTAGCTTAACACGTAATTGCATTAGTAGACTTGTCTATTTGTTTATGCCCCTTGACTTTCACAATGTATTCCAGAAAAACTGCAGTGTACTGTTTAAGTCGCCTAATTTCCTCTGCCCTTTTTTTTTTTTTTGCTTTTTACTTTTTTCAGGAGTAGACACCCGGGATTACCATGTGTGAGGTGGAACATTCCGATGCCAGTACCGTGCCTTCAGTCATGTGCGGTTGATCTGCGGATGAGGAGCTCTTCTTTTTTAAGAGATAGGGATTAACTAATCCATGTAATCAAAGCCATTGTATTCTGCTGTGTACTTAAGACCTTTTCTTGCATTTTGATCTTAAAAGACCGAATAGCTGCGAAGTTTATATCTTAGCTTGAAAGCATCAGGTGAGAAAGCTGAATTAATGCCGAAAGACATGTCAAAGTTGTATTACTGTCGGTTGGATCAGAGAGAATGTAGAAACAACAAAAAAAAGTTTGGTTAGTCGTGTCTTTTCTTTGTTCTCTTCTTTCCCTCTGATAAACTAAATGAAAGTACGTGATGATTAACTAAGCACGTATCCCATAGAAAGAATATCCGACAACCAAAGCCGTCTTGGTTGAAGCCTCATTATTCACTTGATTAACTAATTCTATCTTCGTAAAAAAGAAGGTGAACTATGGCTAGCTTCTTTCTCTTTTTAGCAGAGTAAAATTTGTAGGGTTAAATACATGATCATCAATGCATTATGACGATCATAATAGTTTATACATTGTTGAAAGAATTCTGTGGCATGTCTTTACATGTATGAATCAGCTATCTAAAACTATACAAAAATTTACTCATATACAGGGAGCTGCATCGTACCGTTATACCTTCCAACACACATCCACCGGCTTCACCGGTTTGTGACAACTGGATTTCCGTTCGCATCAGACAAATGGATACTCTGGGTTGACTTGTTAGCGACAACAGGATTTCCAGACTCATCTAAATTAATTATAGCAACATCACCAGGCTTGAGATCCCCAGAAAGGAAAGATTCACTCAGGAGATCTTCAACCATTTGAGTAACAGCCCTCCTAAGAGGGCGTGCACCGTAGTTTCTGTCAAATCCTTGTTGGCATATAAGCTCCATTACTGCTTCTGACACCTCCAAGCTTATTTCCAATGAAACAAGCCTAGCCCTCACCTCCTGCAGCATCAGGTCTAGTATCTGGAGCATCTGAAAGGGAAAAAACAAAGCAGTTACTCGCAGTAGCCGACTGCTTTCTAAAGAGATGTGCCAGAATAAAAGATCACCCCAATGTACATTCAGTTATCAGATCAATGCAACTTTCCAAATCAAACAAGAGGTATATTATACGAACCTGGGGCTTCTCTAGAGGACGGAATACTACTACTTCGTCTAGCCTATTCATCAACTCAGGGCGGAAATATGTCTTGAGCTCTTCCATCACTATTGCTTTCATACCAGCATAGGAGGCTGCTGATTCATCATCAGCAAGCAAGAAGCCAATAGTATTCTGTCTACCCTTTACTATGGCTGTAGAACCCACATTAGAAGTCATCACTATCAGGGCATTCTTAAATGACACTCTTCTTCCCTGTTGAATCAAGTTTCATAATTATCAACGCCAATCTTCCAAAACAAGGTTTACACCCCATATTGTGGAACATTCTAGAACAATAAGCCAGATGTAAAAACGGATCTAACCTGAGAGTCTGTTAGGTGACCATCTTCAAACAACTGAAGGAGAATATTGAATATGTCAGGATGAGCCTTTTCAATCTCATCTAGCAGCACTACAGTGAAGGGCTTTCTTCTGATAGCTTCAGTAAGTGTTCCTCCTTCTCCATAGCCTACATAACCAGGAGGCGATCCAATTAACTTGCTCACAGTATGCCGCTCCATGTATTCACTCATATCCAATCTTAGCATGGCAGATTCCTGTGCAACACAAAAAGATACTTCACTGAGTACATAGAAATTCACAAAACCAAGTGATTGTTAAACTGAAACAGAACCGAAGATAGCAAATATAACTCTAGCAATTTGATGATGAACTTCTAAGAAAAGTAGATGCATAACTCTTGATGATGAAATTCTTTTTGATAAAATCCTAGCCACAATTTTCATCTAGAAGGTTGAACAGAGAATGTCGCTCAGATGAATTTGATTTGATTCAATCTCTGCACTGAAGTCACAAACCGTCTACGACCAAGAGATCCAAATTCAGTGTGATGACAAGATTAAAAGCAGCGCTAACTATATGACTATGATCCATTATCAAAGCTCACTTAGTACTTTTCATTTATTTTGCCAAATTACGTGCCTCCACCATAGGTGATTAGAGACTCCTTCTGTTCTTTCTTTTGGGGCGGGCTGAGAAGGGGTGGAAGGTGCAAGGATCTAGTAAATGTAACAGACTTATCAGATATATATACAATGGTTGACTTCATTTCCCATTGAAATGGATGAAGGAATAATCTGATCCTGGCAACAGGGAAAGAGATTTGAAATAAGCCAGTAATAGAGCACTACCTAGTACCTAGTATGTCTAAACTTGAAGTACTTATTAGTGCCCACCAATAATCAGAAGTCGTGCTCCAACAAGATTAATTGGTGGTATTTCCAACGCTACATTTGACCATGCCGCAATAGCCATAGAAACCTAGAATGGACACACAGCACAGCCTCCGGTACCCTTTCCTTCTCTCCTTTTGTTTTTATTATGTGTGTCCGACCACCTAAAACACAGTCACCACATCTTACTATCATAGTATAATACTTTCTTTACCCGAATCACCACTACCAACAACATAGAAAATTCCCAAGAACACCAGAACCAAAAAAAGTCCTGAGAACACCAGTACTATCACCAAAACCTATCCATTGTCACTGAAGTGGCTGGATTGCATAACTTCAGTGGCAAAACATGGTGACTGTCTGGTGAAACAATTAAGGCATCTAGAATGAAAAGATGAAGCACATTTCTTATCTTACATAATAATTCTTCTCAAATTTAGACAAACTAAAAAGAGCAAGATTGTGTTTGTGCAAATTATGCTGCCAGAACTCTTGGTCAACACGATTCAATTTCAGAGTTCCACAATTTCTACTCAATTGCTTAATCTGGAGACGCATCTTTGGAGGAATAATGCAAAACAGCTCATTTTATTAATACTTACAGAACCAAAATAAGACGCTGCCAAAGCTTTAGCTAGTTCAGATTTTCCAACTCCAGTAGGACCACAGAAGAGCATTGCCGAAATTGGTCTATTTGGGTCCTTAAGACCAGTTCTAGATCTCTTAACAGCCCGACAAATGGCTGCAACAGCCTCATCCTGACCAACAACCCTTTTTTTAAGCTGCTCATCAAGACCAACCAGAAGCATTCTTTCATCAACAGTAAGCTGCTTAAGGGGAATGCCTGTCCAGAGTGAAGCAACTGCTGCTATTTCCTCAGGTCCAACTACCGGAGGTCTAGAGTAAAAATCAAAGGATTTAAGTTAATTTACTTCTGATTTAAATTTATGACTTCAGACAATCTTTATTCTACTATAATGCCCTTGTAGGAACATGGAGGCAGATACGTACTCATCTTCATCAGATGTAGAAGGTGATGCTGGCTGTAAATGAAGTTCACTGCCATCATTCAAACGAGATGCATCATCATTTTCTGTCAGCTTGCTTGCCAAGATCTGTTTATGGAGGGGGCACAGGTAATTGTATTTAGACCACATAAGGAAGTTCAAATTTTTCAAGACGTGCAAAATCTAGAGAGTTTGTATAACATTGAGTACTATTACCACTTCATGCATGGCTTGAACAGCTCTAATCTCCTGCCAATAATCACTTGGTGATTGTGAGAGTACAGATATCTGCTGTTCCTTTCTTCTTTTGTGAGCTTGCATACGAGATTTACTACCAGCCTCATCAATAAGATCAATAGCTTTGTCAGGAAGATACCTATCCGGTATATATCTTGCTGACAGTTGCACAGCAGCATTTATGGCTTCCAAACTGTATATACACTTATGATGTGACTCATATTTCTCACGCAATCCCAACAGTATCTGGACAGCATCCGCCTATATAATTTAGGAAACAAGAATATCTGTTAGGGCCTTAGACACCCACTTGAGCATACACATGCATAGAGTATTATTCACCTGACTTGGTTCATTAATCAAGACAGGCTGGAATCTTCGGGCAAAGGCCTTGTCCTTCTCAATATGCAATCTGAACTCATCCATGGTGGTAGATGCAATACACTGTTACAAGAACAAAATTTAAGCGCAGAGTCCATAAAAGCCAACATTATGAATGCAACTACATGGAGTAATGCATGGAACCAGAATAGGAAATTACCTGCAGTTCGCCCCGCCCAAGTGCTGGCTTTAGCAAATTAGCAATGTCAAGACCAGAACCCTTATTTCCCCTTCCAACTGTACCAGCACCAACAAGGATGTGGACCTCATCTATGAATAGAATGATATTGCCTGCAAATTATGTCACAAGCTAAGCCAATGATCTAAGAATTTGACCAAATTTTACTTCCATTCTATGCTCACCTGACTTTTTGACCTCCTTAATTAATGTAGTCACACGCCCCTCTAGTTCGCCCCTCTCCTTTGCACCTGAAATGAGTAGGCCAATGTCTAAAGACATTACCCGCTTTTTCTGTGTATATAGCAAATAACCACTAGTTAAGTAGGTGCAGCAGCTAGTGGAACAAGAGTATAGGAGATGCATATTAAATTACAAAATAGTTCAAAGAATCCCTGGAAAAAAAATGAATTCATTGAAAAGCCCACCATTAAAAATGCAGGAATATTTCCCTCAGCAATGTTTATCGCCAGCCCTTCGGCTATCGCTGTTTTCCCAACCCCAGCTTGACCAAGCAGAATAGGATTGTTTTTGGTTCGACGGCAGAGAATCTCGATAATTCGCTGAACTTCAATCTCTCTGCCAATTACTGGGTCTATAAGGCCCTCACTCACACGGGCAGTAAGATCTACACAGAATTGCTCCAGCGCATTTTTCTCTGCTGGAAATGAAATGCATTTGAGACAGCGTGCCAAACCAAACACTAACAAGAGAGAGGAACTGGCCATACCTTTTGCTTTCTCAGCGGATCTGTCGATAGTTATTTTTCCAGGAAAGGATTTCTCACGCGACCTTTTGAATGAAATTGGCTCTCTACCATCTTTAGCAAGCTCTCCTTGAAGCCTGGAAACTGCCTCAGCTGCCAAACGATTTACATTTACTCCTAACCTGAAATTAGGTCAGTCGACCATGCAAATCTTAATTTCTTATATAAATAGCGTGTAATAGATGACAGAAAGATAATCATATTGCAAGAGAGAAGGCATATTAAACTCAATCAGGAAGGTGAAGAAGGATCCTATTCCCAAGCCAGTAGCATTGTAAGATAAATTATGCAGCAAAAAGGAAATCCGTAAGCATTTGTTTATTTATTAACAAGTACATCAGTATG